AAATTGGGCAAGGATGCACTGTACAAGTAACATGACTGATGATTGTACAATGTACAGTAGGTATCGGTTATAGCGTGGGTGTTTGAAAAACGACTTTCTATTCTTATTTGCAATATTTCTTACTCGCGATAAGTCAAGTGTGACATATCAGATGCATGTGCGCAGATACAGGATGGTCATCATACATACAACGTATCTCTGCTGTGCATGCGGGTGTTCATAGTCTCATACGCTTGCCATGTGGCTATGCAGCATGAGATACATGACAAGAACAGTTGAACCTGGAGCACTACAATGCAATGCGAGTCGGAGCAGAACTGCATTGGACAGATGTTATTACTACACTCATCTACAGGCGATACACTTTGTACCAATCTGGTATGTTTTGCTACACAAAGTCCATTCTTAAGCTGTGTTCACAACTGGCGCGTGTACGCGTGAAACCACGTGTTTGTGCGTATTTTGCTGGCTTTTGGGGCGCCATGCGTACGGAAACGCGTCGGAATGGAACTTCCAACATGTTGGAATTTTCAACGCGTATCAGGCGCGTACCAGCGTACATGCCAGTCACCTTGACTGGCGGGGTCAAAAATTAGTACTCGAAGGTGTCGCACGCGCTAAATACGACTCGGATTGCTGGTTTTTTTTGAAAGCCTGAGCGCGCGTTTGGGCACGCATGAACCGCAAGCGTACCGCGTACACGCGCCAGTTGTGAACACAGCTTTAGGACCGACATATTCTACAATGCGATAACATTGCTTGTACTTCCTCCGCGTCATTAAAATTGTCGCTGCGCACATCGCAATGTTTGTGACTTGGCTCGTCTTAGTCAGACTGTCGGAATCGCTGTTTTCTGTGTTCGAGCATTGGTGCGACCCTTCCTGCGCAATCTCTACTTGTTACTGAAGCCGTGGTGGTCTCGGACTTTGTCGGAGCTCTCTTCCGCACCAAGCAAATTCATCGTGCTCCGCACTCTTCCGCCCCAGAGCGCATATCGTTTTTCTAGAGTTCGTGCCGTCCCATATCGTTCGCGTGGGTATTTATCAAGACTGCAAGCTCGGGTATAAGAATCCTGGTATCTCTCCTGAATACGAAATGCTGAAGTTGACGATTGCAAGAACAAAGTGTTCTCGAATTCCTAAAATGCGCTACTTGTGTCGCATGTTGCTACGAAGGTAGCAAGTCTGAAAACACCAACAAAATTAGCGAAGCGCTTGCCAAGGAAAGAAGTTGCGGAACTACTTACCCTATCCCGCTGGATGGTCGTTACAGTGCACTTGAAAAATGCTAGCTTGCCTTCATCGCCTGCCACCTGGAGGCATGGATCGCTTGAAAACGAAGTTTCTTTACCTGAATTTGAACGCGCGTCTTGTTCAGCACATTGTTGAGTGCTGAAGGGCCTGCCCCAAACTCTGATGAAGACGTCGACCTTAGCTGCAAGTGCAGCAAATCGGGAGGCCACAAACTAAAGCTTGATCCGTCGACAATGCTCTGCCTCAATTTCTAGCTGATTTCTTTGCCCTTCGAGTAGACAAAATAAATTCGAAAAATTGTTCTGGGAAGCGGCAATTTTAAGTAAGAATATATGTTCACTTGAAACCCATGATATGATTATGAAAATATGAGAGTTCATTCTTGTAAGTAGTATATTCTTTTACACGACCACGCTATAACCGATACGCACTGTAGTAACTGAGCATGAGATACTTTAATCTGTATAGTGTAGGTCTGGAAGAAATACCTGGCATGTAATCATTTTGTAATGTTGGATAGCTAGGTGCGTGACATACATCATTACAGTCATGTGCACCATGTCATCTCCCCCGGCCACGACCCCCTCAGCCAAATCCTGGACACGCCACTGCATACTTGTGGATATATGGGGGGGGGGGGGGGGATGGGGATGAATGCAGCACTCGACCTAAACTATATCCTATTCTGTGCACCAAGCGCTAAATTTGGTGCCGGCCGGCTTTTTAGGGTATCACTGCATTTGATCAACCCGACGTCAAGTGCATGTGATAATTGGGACCATTTGCAAGCCGTGAAACGGCAAGACGAATGAGGAAATTGTGTTAGAATCCCATCCTGTCCACGCGAAGCACACTGGTGTTCGATGAGTTCGGTGGGGTCTACTCGTCATGACCACAACGAGTGTTTTTTTTTTAATCCAGTGCGTGCGATTTCAACAGATACGGAGAATGCACAGTAAATTGCGCCTCCTTTTGTGACTTTTCTCAAATTTCCAAATGTTTCATGCACTCCTGTTGGAATAAAGTATGATGGCGAATATACGGTGTACGAAGGCAAGGCACTTTCTCACTAGACAAGTGACGTTTGCTAATACTTGGTCCGCCAAGTTACAATTGGCGCTTGTCTTCGCACTTGATTTTTCGGTGTTCTGGCTGTGTCATACCGCATAGAACCACCGTTTCACCATCCGAACATAACCATAGACCATTGCATCCAAAAACATGGCAGCACAAACCAGCACAGAAGT